GGCGGGCTTTGCCAATTAAAACAGCAACTGCAATGACTGCAAGTGTTTTACTTGGCAAAGTCTGGTCCTTCTGTAAACAGTTTTGAATGAACAAGGGTTAATTTTATTTACTGTGAAAAACTGTACTCCTCATAGAAGGATATATCTTTCCTTTTGGATGCTTTAGATCAATCCAAGGCTGAAAATGGCAGTGAAGAATAGCCACTCATGTAAAACCACTGAAAAATGTAACAGTTCTTTTTTCCCCCAGATGGGACATGGACTTAAGGCATTTTAAGGGGAGATGAGTATCATAGAAGGTCTGGGCTCACTAAGGGATTGAAGTTCAGTAGTTGCAGCGGACTTTTAAGAAAACAATATTTAAAAAGCTTCCTCTGCAGAGTCCATATTTCCTTTGGAATCCCTGACCACATTTAACACTTTACTTTGTTGCTGTCTTCAAATACAAATGTCTTTCTTTAAAAATTCTGAATTCTGCAACCTGATAAATAGTACTGCGGACCTGAACATAAACATCCCCTTTTTAAAAGAAATGAACTGATCCGTGTACCTATGTGTTACCTTGTAATCACTGACATCATGACACATGGAGAGGACTGAGCAGAACAGAGTCATTCCAAGTTGAACAGGACAAGAGCAAGAAATTTGTCTGTCCTCCTGTCTTCTTGATACATCCCTTCCTGACCTTCACTTATGCACATGGGAGGACCATGATTCAGTGGCAGAACCAGGGGTCATTTCGTAGAAAAAGAGGTGCAGGAGCTCATTAGCATAACTTATTAGCATAACTTGTTTGCATATGCCACACCCGCTGACATCACCGGAAGTGTGTCAGAAGGCAACACCCACCACTCAGGCTCCACTGGACTGTTTTGGATTGCTAGCTGGGGGGGACGCGCATATCTGCACTCACAGAGGAGGGAGAGCTTGTACCTGAAGGTGGGGGGGGCTCTGCAACTTACCTGGTTGCTTCTTGCTCCTTGTGGCCCGACTGAGGGCTGCTGGGAGCAGGGGGTGGGGCTTGCAGCATGTGCCCACCCCCTGGGCTCCTTACTGCCAGAGCTCCGCTCCTGTGCGCTCTTGCAGGAAATGACCCCTGGGCAGAACACATTGTGTTTGCAGAAGGGTTCTCATCAGAGGATCAGTTCTCATCAGAGGATGAAGATGTCATGGTGGCTGACCCCACAGAGGATAAAACCCTGGCAGACCCTGAGGATCCTGGGCCATCTGACCCCCAAGAGCCATCAAGGGGCATGCAGCTAGCCGTGGCTGCTGGGCCTGATGCCCAGATGGCCCATGAGCTGAAGGCAGAGACAGGGACTGTTGATGAACCCACTGAGGAGATTCATCTATTTCCAGGAATCTCACAGTGACCTCCAAAAGACCAGGGGTGGAGAAGATGGAAAGATGAGGGAGAAAGTCAGCTTAGATTGTATGGAGTACAGCTGACCACCTGGGATCTCTTGTCTGCAGCCTCACAGGTTGCTCAACAGGTTCCTGCTGTAACTGCACACAGACTCCAGGTTACTGCTACAGCTGCAGTTACTCACTCCTATAAATAGCCTCAGTTCAGCTCTGGCTGTTGTGGGGTGGACAGCTGTGATACTGCCTGCTCTGATGCCTGTGTACAAGCAGGACATCCATATTGTTAGCAATAACTATTACAATAAATTGTATACTAGTCTGTTTTAAACTGGAGATGCCAAGGATTGAACCCAGGACCTTCTGAATGCCATGAAGATGCTCTGCCCCTGAGCTATAGCTTCTTCCCATGTGCATATAGTTTATACTGAGAAATAGGCCTATTTAAAAACTGGCTATCATATATTTTTGTATCTGGAGTGGAGAAACTATGTGTTCTAGCATGTAGCAACTTTTGACAATCCATGAGACCCAGTAAATACTCCCATTATCATTTTGCTACCAATACATTAGAGAATCAGGTAGTGTACATGTTAGAGATCCTGAGAACAGTTCAGAGCATGATGGCTGTTCCTTTATCACATGGGAAAGAAGTATGGGCCTTGTCTCTACTTGTAAAAATATCTTTTAAAGTCCAGGTTGCTCTGAGAATGAGGAAAACATGTTAAACAGTTCGGGAACTAGGAGCATGTACTTTGTTATATAGTCTCAAATGCCTTTGTTGTGTTGTGTGTGCTTATAATTACATTTCAGTCTGTACATTAGGGTTGCCAGGTCTTACCTGGCTGCTGGCAAGTCTTCTGCAATGGCATTACCCAGGAGTCTTCTGCAATGACATCGCCCAGAGGTGTTGTCATTGCACAGGGCACGTCGGGTGGGATGCTCTAGCATTTGGGTAAAAAACTCTATTGTCACCATAGAGTTTTTGCCCAAATGCTAGAGCATCCCCCAAGCAACATGCCTGGAGTTATGATGTCACCTCCACGTGACACCATCATGCTGGGAACATCGGGCAGGATGGGGCTCTTCGGGGGCAGGGCTTCCCAGCCATCCTAAGTAACACTCAAGACCTGGTGAGAGATGTAAAAGTGATTGCACCGCTTGGGAACAGTGATCATAATGCTGTTGAGTTCAACATTTGTATAAATAGGGAATTGGCCAAAAAGACTGATACAACCACTTTTAACTTTAAAAGGGGTAACTTCTCTGATATGAGAGGACATTTTTTGCCTCCGTCTTCACTGTGGAAGATGAGAAGTGCTTGCCCACTCCAGAACCACTGATTTCAGGAGGGGTGTTGGAAGACCTGAGTCAGATTGAGGTGATGAGAGAGGAGGTCCTAAAACTGATAGACAACTTAAAAACTGAAAAATCACCAGGCCCAGATGGCATACATCCGAGAGTTCTGAAAGAACTCAAATGTGAACTTGTAGATCTCCTGACAAAGATATGTAATCTTTCCTTAAAATCTGCCTCCATTCCTGAGGATTGGAAGGTAGCTAATGTCACTCCCATCTTTAAAAAGGGTTCCAGAGGAGATCCGGGAAATTACAGGCCAGTCAGTCTGACGTCGATACCGGGTAAATTGGTGGAAACCATTATTAAGGAAAGAATTAGTAGGCACATAGATGAACAAAACCTATTGAGGCAGACTCAGCACGGTTTCTGTAAGGGAAGATCTTGTCTCACTAACCTGTTAGTGTTCTTTGAGGGGGTGAACAAACATGTGGACAAGGGGGATCCAATAGATATTATTTACCTTGACTTCCAGAAAGCTTTTGATAAAGTTCCTCATCAAAGGCTCCTAAGTAAGCTCAAAAATCATGGGATAGAAGGACAAGTCCTTTTATGGATCAAAAACTGGCTAGTTCATAGAAAACAGAGAGTGAGTGTAGGTGGGCAATTTTCTCAGTGGAGGGTGGTAAGCAGTGGGGTACCGCAGGGATCAGTACTTGGTCCACTGCTTTTTAACTTGTTCATTAATGATTTGGAGATGGGAGTAAGCAGTGAAGTGGCTAAATTTGCGGATGATACAAAGTTGTTCAGGGTGGTGAAAACCAGTGAGGATTGTGAGGCACTCCAAGGGGATCTGTCAAGGATGGGCGAGTGGGCGTCAACATGGCAAATGGGGTTCAATGTGGCCAAGTGCAAGGTGATGCACATTGGAGCCAAAAATCCTAAATATAAATACACATTGATGGGGTCTGAACTGGCAGAGACTGATCAAGAGAGAGATCTTGGAGTTGTAGTGGATAACTCACTGAAAGTGTCGAGACAGTGTGTGACTGCAATAAAGAAGGCCAATGCTATGCTGGGGATTATTAGGAAGGGTATTGAAAACAGATCAGCCAATATAATAATGCCCCTATATAAATCAATGGTGAGACCTCATTTGGAATACTGTGTGCAGTTCTGGGCACCACACCTTAAAAAGGATATTATAGCTTTGGAAAAAGTGCAGAAAAGGGCAACTCGAATGATAAAAGGGTTGGAACACTTTCCCTATGAGGAAAGGTTAAAGCGCTTAGGGCTCTTTAGCTTGGAGAAACGATGACTGAGCAGAGACATGATTGAGGTTTATAAGATTATGCATGGGAAAGAGCAGGTAAAGAAAGAGGTACTTTTCTCCCTTTCTCACAATACAAGAACTCGTGGGCACTCCATGAAACTGCAGAGCGGTCGGGTTAGAACGGATAAAAGGAAGTACTTCTTCACCCAAAGAGTGATTAACACATGGAATTCACTGCCACAGGAAGCGGTGGCAGCTACAAGCATGGACGGCTTCAAAAGGGAATTAGATAAGCATATGGAGCAGAGGTCCATCAGTGGCTATTAGCCACAAGGTATAGATAGGGGCTCTGGGGCAAGTGATGCTCTGTCTTCTTGGTGCTTGGGGGGGGTCAACAGTGGGAGGGCTTCTAATGTCCTGGCCCCACTGGTGGACTTCCTGATGGCACTGGTATTTCTGGCCACTGTGTGACACAGAGTGTTGGACTGGATAGGCCTTTGGCCTGATCCAACATTGGCGTCTCTTATGTTCTTATGTTCTTAACTGGCCAGTGGTGGATTGGGAGCCCCAAAATCAGGGGAAACCCCACCCTCATTGGGGGAATGGCAACCCTACTGTACATCTGGTGTTCATGGGCCCTTGACCCTTTTCTTCATTTTGTTTTCCTTCATTAAATGTCTGCGTTGCAAGAAGTCACTTATTCCACCTGAAGAAATGGGCTCTCTTTCTGGAAAGCATAATGCTAGAATAAAATGTTGCTGTTTAAGGCACCACTAGATTCCATTTAATTTTTGTTACAACAGC